AGTATTAGAAGATGGAACAACTTCTCCTGGAGGCCACCGCAGGGGCGAGGTAAAAAAAAAATTTAGCCGAAACTGGTTTGGCTCAGTGGATAAGAGCATCTGTCTGCAGACTGAAAGGTCCCAGGTTCGATTCCGGTCAAGGGCATGTACATTGGTTGCGGACACATCCCCAGCAGGGGGTGTGCAGGAGGCAGCTGGTTGATGTTTCTCTCTCATCGACGTTTCTAGCTCTCAATCCTCTTCCTTCCTCTGTGGAAAATAAAATATATATTTTTTTAAATTTAACTTCCTTTCCTGACCCATCCAACTCTTCAGTGAAGCTTCCAGCACCCTTTGGCAGCTAATTTCAAAGAATCAGTTCTTGGCCCTCTCCAAACCATCCTCCTCCTTACTACTCAAAGAGCAACTTCTACTCCCAACCCAACTTCTGGAAGCCAATTTCATGTCAAATGGACTGTTAGACATAGTCAGCACAAGTCGTCCCAGGACTGCCAATCCAATTTGTTGCCCCCATTACACTCCAGACAGCCACTTCCTAGTGCAGTCTAACACTCCCAGCTCCGCGGCCTTCCGGCCAGCACCGGCTGCTCCACACCTGCTTACGAGGCAGCCTGGCTGAAAGTTACAACAGACTGACCTACTTCAAGCAGCTGCACCCTCAATGGCTCCTGCCCTGTAAACGTCTACCTGGTGAGGTACGTATTTCTTCACGTAACTCTGCCTTGGCCATCCCCCGCCACCCTAGCCATGACTTTTCTCCTGTTGGCTTTTTTCAAGGGACCCTCATCTTAAAGACTTGCACCCTGTTCACCACTAAGTGTCATGAACTGCCATGTAGAGAAAGTATGACCAAAAACAATTAAATAACATTAACATGCCAATTTATATTTACTTTGTAAAGAACTCCTGTTGTAGCTTAACATGGTTGGTTTTATCTAAAAATAAACTTCCTGATTATAAACTAGAGGCCCCAGGTGCATAGCGGGTGGGTGTGTGGGGTGTGTCCCTCAGCCCAGCTTGCACCCTCTGGCAGTATGGGTGCTGGCCCTAAGCTGCTGGCAGTGAGCTGCAGCAGAGGCGTGAGAGGGCCTGGAGCACCCTGCACTGAGCGTCTGCACCCTGGTGGTAGTTCTGCCCTTCGGTTGATTTGCGTATTAGGGTTTTATTATATAGGATTTTGGTGACACCAACTGAAACAGGTTAAAATAGTTACCAGCTACCTAACAGGACTTAGAAATTGTTTCCTAAGGGAGATTGTTTTCAAACTTTTAGTTTTCAAAACTTGTTTTTTATACTGATCACTTACCTCCATTTCCTTATCCAAATGATTAACCCTTAACCCCACCCCAACAAAAGGATAGCATTCAGCAACCCCCATCCCCATCCACACCCAGCTCTGTTGTTTAGGGGCTTGTCAGCAAATAACCAAACACAAAAGTGCCTGCCTTTGAACAAGGGAAAATGACCTGAGGAAAAGCCACCTTCAGATACTATTCTGGAAGGCTCATTTTGCTCTAAAAGTAAAATGAAATAGTCACCAACTTGGGATCTCTTTATTTACTAGAGGCCCAGTGCACAACATTCATGCATGTGCAGGGCCAGGCCGTGACTGAGGTCTGCCAGCTGCCACCCAGTGCCTTCCTTTGCTCCACAGTGCACGTAACAGTGAACTCTAAGGGGACACTTTGCCTATTAGCCTTTTATATATAGGCTTTAAAAGAATGTTGGTTGATTTCAGAGGAGATAGAAACGTTAATGAGAATTGGCTACTTCCTACATGTTCCCTACTGGTGACTGAGCCTGTAACCCTGTCCACAGGCCAAAGCACTATTCCACTAAGCCAAACCAGCTAAGGGCTTCGGACCTCTTTAATGGCCACAAGCAATCAAAGCACTACCACTGCCTCATACATATAGCTCAGATTAAGGCACTAAATGGCCATATTCTAAGACGTTATTAAAAGTGATATTCTACACACCTATTTCACATTGGTCTATGAAACCTTTTTAGCCATATGTTCCAGATAATTGAAAAGAACTGGGGTACTAAGTGATGTCTAAATAGTGTATTATGAATTTCTGCAATTCAGGCAAAGTTGCATGAAAAAAAATTAAGCAGCTATACTGAATTTGTTAACATTTTCAATCTCTTCTCAGTACCTAAGAATATGCTCCAGTTGAGTTCTTTTGAGATATCCAATGAATCTTAAAATAGGATGGAAAGAATTTGAGGGCTTTGAATCATTATTTAACACTATCAGACTGCTTCGATAAAAATATACTCCATTTTTTCTTCAGCTACTTTAATTATAAAAATCTTCCATGTCCCCTTCCCCCCAGAAAATGGAAAACCAGAAGGCAACAGTCCAGTACAAAAACATACAACTGGAAGATATCAACTAGATCTGGCAACTAAATCATGTTCAGAATTCTGAAAAATAAAGCACATTAAGACAAAGCACTAAACCAGCATTATAATTAGGAATTTTATCACCTGGGAGATATCTTCCAAATAACAAAGGGCTAGACCACTGTGAAAAACTGAGCCAAGGAGCCTGGAATCAGGCTGTGTATATCCTAAAAAATGTTTATGATCTATGTTACATTCTACTAATATGAACCAGGACTTCCCATCCAGATATGGGTATGTCTACTTAAGTAGGAATGCCATTTACTGATCACACCATCTTTTCAAAATACATTAACGGTAATTTTATCATAAAATTATCTTGTCTTCACCATTCTGCAGGAACCCACAATAAGCTGAAAACCAGATTGTTACATATTCCTGAAAGCAACTATAGCCCTTAGCTCCCCTAAATGATCACCATTAGTGACCTCCAGTGAACATCTATAATTACACCACAGATCAGTTTTAGTGACTTTATCACTTGACTAAAGATGCATGATCAAACTGGCTAGTAAGACTTGTAATTTTTTTTAATTACAGTAACATTAAGTTTTTAAAAGCCACAATCTAAATGTACAATGTAAGAGTTTAATACTTTCTATCTTCCATATGTTTTGCAAGCCATAAAAATTGTGCTGGGGCTTTTTAAGCGATTGAAAATTTAGGTAACTCAAAGGTTGACTATATCTCAATTTCTCCATTAGCCACATTATACCCATAATTAACCTTTTTACAGAAACGCTTCTAACTTAAAACTGGAAGTTGTATACTGCCCATAAAGGTCCACAGATGCCCATTTATAACAGCAATGTGTTACTTCCATGACTTTTTAGCTATTGTGCTTTTTTTCCTAACAGGAACAGTATTCAGGCTATGAGGCAACGCCAGAAGACAGTAAGGTCCAGAGCTTCCAGCAAATCAGGTAAATCCTTAAGTGTCTTTTACAACAAGGTTCACACTGAACCTCAGTGATACCAATTCTTCCTTGGAACAATCACACTCTCCTCCCTATATTTGCATGTAAGATTGTTTAGGACCTAATCTTATGAGATATCCTCATACAGCCCTAGCTGGTGTGTGGCTGATTGGTTGAGCATTGTTCTGCCTGTTTGAATCCCAGTCAAGGAACAAGTCCAGGTTTGTTGGCTTCATAGGCGGACAACTGACCATTTCCATTTCTCTCTCCCTCTTCCTCTCTAAAAACCAATTAAAATTCTCTTAAAGTATATGTGTACAGCCTTACAGATTCATCTCAATGCAATGACTCCGCTCATATTAAAGTCAGGATAATTCAAAACTGTCATAAAACAGCACATTTAAGGAAACTAAGTCACAAGACTGTTGCATTATGGTTTAATCTAATTGCACAAAATTTAGAAATTACAGCTTCTCTGGATTTCTAAAAGGAAGATTATGCATGCCTCCATATTCAAGTCTGCACTTACATTTGAACCATATGGTGAATTTTACATGATGATGGATCAATTTAGAATTCCCATGCAACACCTCAAACACCTCAAATCAAATCATGTAAAATAAAATGGAAGCAATTTTTAAAGCTTTGTGGATAGTTCTCATGCTAATGCTAAAAACCTTTTTATGGGCAACTTTGAGTTATTATATACTAGAATGCTACCCTTTAAAATGTTGGTCACTGAGTAAATTCAAAGAAAAAATTTAAGAACAATCATTTAAGTGACAACCAAAAATTCCCTTCACTTCAAAAGCCTCAATTTTGTTTCTTTTAAGATTTGTGTAACCAACTGCTTTCCACGGGACAAGAACTATGGTAATAGTGTGTTTGACTATTATAGTTATGCTATTATTTTATTAATTCAAAAGCACTTTACAAGAAAATATAAGTATGGCTTCCAATAGGAATGTTATACCTGAACTTGATACCAAGCTCACACATTTTAGTTTTGCAAGGAAAAACAGGCTTTCAGGTTAAACAACAATTTGTAACCAAAACTTTAATCCCAAGGATTCTCACAAAACATATTACAAATGACAGCAAGGAAAAAATTTTGCACAGTAACTCAAAGTTCAGCTCTACAATGTACCCTTAAACTGGCAGGACACTGGCATCTTGAATAGTCTCAAATTTCCAAGTGAAGAATGTTACCAACAGCTATATATTCACATATAGCAATCACATAAGAAACTTATGACCTACAGCAAAGGTAAACTAACTTTCTTAAAACTTCTTAGGTTCTACACTAACTTGATACCATTGCCCAATGTAAAGACTAGTTGGATTTTTAAACCTCTAAATCTAAAGGTGCAGCTTTAATTTTTAGCTGCTGGCTTGTGTTCACAGCAGCTTTTGAAGACTGCCTGTCCAACTACAGCTGCCTATTAGATCCCAGCTACGGAAAGTCTTAAATCCAATTTTTTGCCAGTTTTGTTTCCACAATATTCAATGTCACACTTTAGCTGGGCAGAGGGTAAGAGTTTATTATCAGTCTACGTAAGACTGAAGTTCAAAGCAAATTCAATTTTGCTTAAGGGAACATTGTAAAGTAACAATTCTTGATATTACATGCCTCATATGATCCATTTCAAACCATAGAGAATTACATCTTTATGTGTCACTGTTCCAAGACAAACAAATGTGAACAGCTAAAACATCTTAAAAATGCACCAAGCTTATGAAGTCTCAAACAAAACTTGAATTTTCTGTACATACTCCTGTCAAATGAAGTTATTTCCTGTACACCACTCATCTTGCAAACTGGTCTTCTATTTCCTTTCATTTGACCTAGATCGGCTAAAGAAAAACAAAAGCAGAAAAACAGGTTCCATATGTAACTTGGGGGCAGTGACAAAACAGCAAAAGATTTTTATGACAGAAAGTTATACCAAAATGGCTTAATTAGACCTATTTCTGGTTTTAGTACAATAACTAGTTAGACAAGGTCTTGAACAGCTCATCATTAAAGATCTTACCTACGAGACCTAGAGAAGGAACGAGACGGCTTGTGATTTCTCTCCCGAGACAGTGATCTCTCTCTTCTTCTATCTCTAGAAAGGGACCTAAGGACAGAGGAAAAGAAAAATAGGACCATTCAGGACTATAAACAATAAATATTTCCATAAGTCTTTGAAAACAAAGAGTTAGTTAATTCTACTTAATCCTGATTCCATGTAACACTTTATCCATTACTAAGAATTCATTACTATTAACAAAGTCACTTAGAAAACAGCACAGCAAATAACACAGCCATTTTCGGAGACTGTGGCCAAGTCATTTACCTGCTCCGGCTGCGGGAGAAGCTTCTCCGTCTTGGAGATCTAAAAGCAGAAACAAGAAAGTTAGGCTAACTGTCAATTAGTATTTATGGCGTGAGGCATTTCCCAACTTTTCAATCTCACTGTTGGGCCCAGTGAATGTGCCGAAGAACTGGCACCCATCGTCAAAAAGAAAAAAAAAAAAAAAGAAAAGAAAAAAAGGCACAGAAGGATTAAGGAACCAAAAGCTCAAGTGAAAAGCAGGTATTCCAACCATGGACTCACTTTAACAAAGAATGCTTCACAGCAGATCTGTCCAAATGCAAAACTTCATGTCAAACTAACTTCACTACCCAAACACCACACCAAAATGTAGTCCCACAAGTAGTTCCAAAAACAGTACCATAAACCAGTATTTGGAACCCATGCAAACCTATAAGTCCATGACAAGACTTAGGTACCAGGTGGATAGTGTAATTGTGAAAACGCGCTAGGTGTAAATATTGATGCCATTAAGTGCTACATTAGAACTGCATTTGTGATTGTCACATTTAAGGGTGTGTTTAGACTTATCAAAATTACCTTAGCTCTTGGCCCACTTCACCCCCAAATTTTTAAAATTTTGAAAACTGTTAGTAAAACCATTTAAAGGTGATAGGAGTCAAATTTTTGCTAGAAAGGAAAGCTAAATCTGTTAGTAATTTAAATTTTTAGTTTGGCATCTCACACATGCAAATAAGTTCCACTTGAAGGTCTAGTTACATTATGAGTTCCCTATCACCCTTAAAAGTTTTATTCAAGCAATATATATGTACATTACCATTCAATTATGCACAGCCAGCCTTTGATCCAGAAAAAAAGAATTACTTTAAGCCGCTTACTCCTTATTTTAACCAGCAGTAAACTGTATAAGCAGGAAAAACTTACTAGTTTTGGGTTTCAACAAGCTAGAAATGGTGAGGTGAGGCTGCCGGACTGACGGCCAGGAAGAATTTGCTGAAAAGGTTTTGCCAGATGTTGCGTTGGATTTAGTTGGTTGGCGAAGGGGGTGTTGTGGATTTTTCCTGCTTTTTTGTTAGCCGAAGGCTGCTGCTGTAGTTGTTGTGAAGACATTTGGTAAATAAACAGCTGAGCTGATTGGCCAGGAATGTGTGGGCGGTCGAGGTGGCTGCTGCCGATTTGGTTAAGGTTGGAGAGAAGGCTGAGAGAAAACAGCATGCTCGGGAACCAAAGGGCGGTGCAACCTGGCGACTGGCCATGCCTGGGTCATGTGAAACGACACCAGCCAAGCTGAATGGGGCGCGCTGGTCACATGACGCTGAAAGGGCTAGTTGACTGGCTAATGCAGACTCAGAGGGTGGTGAGAAGAGACATGATGGTGACTCTGTAACGGGGTTCATTTTTATTAATAGATGGACCAAAAAGCACAAAAAAAATGAAGAAAAAAAAAAACAAGCCATCAGTACAACCATCTATTAGCTAACAAATACTCTATTATGATGGGCAACAGTGTGTTGTTTTTCAAAACAGCAAAAGGGGCAAGATTTTGAACTCCTATCTCCTAGGACTTCACTCACCTTTAAGAGGTAAATTCAGTCCTTCAGAAACTATTTTGGAGATTTGAGGAGATGTGGACTTAGCATCCAGACAACACTGCCTGGTCCAAGAATGATGCCATTGTCAATTATAAAAAAACCGATCTCTCTCCTATTTGGGCATGAAGAACAGATGACTGGGATTACTCTTTTAGCCCCCTTTATTGGTCAGTGACATTAGTTTCAGAAAGATTTCTATTTTACCAGTTGTAACATTACTAAAACAGCTGCCTGATTGGTAAATATTACAATCGTGCTAATAGAAAACACAATTTTTTTTGGTGAAGAGCTAGAGTTGAATGTAATGTTTTGTCATTATGGAGTCAAGAAATGGAAAAAGGCCTAATTGAAGTATAAGGGAAGACTTGGAAAGATGCACTAGAAGATGAACTAGAAGATAGATCCAAGATAGAAGTTACTGACTACCAACATGAACCTAAAGACAAAAGCCAACACTCAGCACAACTCACATACCCCAAACTACACCCAGCAAATGCTTCATAAAAACCTCCGGTCTTCACAATTTAAAACCCACCAACAAACTTTTGAGAGAAATAACTGCTCCTATTACCTACTCCATTACACCAATACCTCTAGTCACACTCTCTCAAGTACCTGCGGCGAGGTGGAGGACTCCTTCGCCGATAATCATCTCGAGGGCGACGACCCCAAGAGGGCGGTGGGCCTCGATTTCGACTTCTCTTTTCACCATTCGACAGTTCCACTCTGACTCGGCAGCCACATAGTGTTCTAGGAAGAAAAAAACATCACTACATTTAAAGCAGCCAAACTGACTTTCTGAAAGATGTATATTAAAGCAAAAAGCACTTCTAGCCGAAACTGATTTGGCTCCGTGGGTAGAGCGTCAACCTGGGGACTGAGGGTCCCAGGTTCGATTCCGGTCAAGTGCATGTACACTGGTTGTGGGCACATCCCCAGTAGGAGGTGTGCAGAGGCAGCTGATTCTCTCTCATCAATGTTTCTAACTCTATCCGTCTTTCAATCAATAAAATATATATATATATTTTTAAAAAGCACTTCTAGTTAGGAACACATTTGAATGCCTGCAGAATCCTTAACACCAAAACAGGTTTTAGTTCCCTTATTTTTTCCTTAAAGGAAGTCAACTTCTTTACATTTTATTGCTTTGTTAAGAGCCAAGTCTGATCATTGGGCTCAATGTTAATTTGTTAGTATTTGTACTTTAACTGTAAAAACACGTAGAATAGTCCTTAAAGAACTAGTTCATCTTTACATCCTGTGTGATATCTTCCTTTGAGGTCTGTCCCATCACTTGTTTATGAATCTCACCCTATATTTGCTTGTCTCTCCACTCCATCCCTGTCCAAGTCAACAGCAATAAATAGACAGGAGACATTTGTACATTTTATTTTACATCACCCCTCTCCCCCAATTATCACTATAGTTGAAATGAAAAGTTCCAACAGCCCTTACATTCCGGTAAGCCAGTGACTGGGAAGAGGCGCAACCCTTGAAATGTGTTTCTGCAATCCGCTTGAGTAAACAAGCTTTTCTACAGCCAGCCTACTGAACATTTAACTTTAGGATGGAAATCCAATGGTCTCAAATGCCAACCAAATGAAGGGGGGAGGGCAACACCTGCTCCTATTAAAACTCGGACACGAGCAGCCAGCTAAGGGAAATTGCTATATAAGCCTAAAAGCACTCCACGCAGGTAAAGATAATGGTGCAGCAAACCCCATGTAGCATCATCCAGCTCCAATCAACACAGGGCCATTCTCACTTAAAGTATGATTCCACAGCCGTTTTAGAATTAATTCAAAGCCGACAACAGTTGACTGAGGAGAGTTTAGATGAAAATGTTTTGACAATTTTTTGGATGCAGCTATACACCCACTAAGAAGTGACCATTAAACTAAGGTGACCAGATGTCCCATTTTTTTAACAATTCGTCCTGCTGCGTTTTAAAAAAAAAGGTCCTGATTTTTTAAAAGATTCTTTTAAATCTTTTGGATTTTTTTTTTTTAAACGAAGCGGGATGACTGGTCACCTTACATTAAACTTTATTATATTCTTCAATGGCCAACTGAATAAAAAGAATCCTCCTCCTCACCTCCACTAAAACTGTTCGGTCCTTTTTTTATTGCCAAAAAAAGGTGTACACAAATTTCCAGTAACATCAATTTCAGATAGCTAAGAAGCCACTCAGAGAATCATTATCCTAGAGATTTTTAAACGTTAAAAACATAAGCGACATATTTGAATCAAAGATCAAATTACCTCCCATCTAGCTCTCGGACAGCATCGGCTGCGTCTCGGGGATCTTCAAACTCAACAAAAGCAAAGCCAGGAGGGTTTCTGGCAACCCACACACTTCTGAGTGGTCCATAATAGCCAAAGGCTCGTTCCAATTCCGTCTTGTTACCGTTGTTTCCAAGATTACCCACATACACCTTACAATCCAATGGACAGGAATCACGATGCATTTCTGTAAAATTAAAAAACCAAAACCAAATCAGTGAAGATTTAACCAAATAATCTACACACAGTGAAACACAGACCCGTAGGAAAGACTGCCAAAACACTAAAAAAACACCCAATTAAGAAAAATCACACCCTTTTCTCCGTAAAATGCTGAGTTACAGAGGCCTGAGACAGAAGTGCATGGACCACGATCCCATCTATTATGAAATGTCCCAAACAGGCGAACCCAGAGACACGTTAGAGGGAATTAACGGCACTTCCAGTCGCCTGGGCAGCGGTCCCAATCACCCCGGAGGCCGGTTCCAGATTAGGGGCTACCCCGACACCCCGATTCTTCTCTTCTCCCCTTGGGCTTGCCAATTAAAAAACCAGCCCAGACACATCCTATTTGCGTGACTCCACCCTGTGCCCAGGAGCTGAGAACAAACCACTGCTGGAGACTTAAAAAAAGAAACGAAACTCTCTGTAGCCAGTTTCGGGCCTACGGGCTACCGGGCAGCAGCTGCAGAAACAATGCTGCCCCCGGAAGGCGGGTTTACAATAAGACAGACTGGGTTCAAGGAGTAAAAAGTGGAGTCAAATTAAAATAACAGGAGCATGTGAGTGCAGAAATAGCTTACTGTGAATGGAATAAATTTCCAGCCTTTTCACAGATTAAATCTTTATTATTGAAAATATTACATTATGCTCCCTTTTTTTCCTCCACTGACCCCTTCCAGCCCGCCCAGACCAACATTCCCGTCTAAACGACAGCCCAGTGACAAAAAGCCTGGGAGCTTAAGAAAACGTGGGGCGGAAGGAAAAAAAAAGGCGCCATAAATTGAAAGGCCGCGCGGCCTGCAGGACGATTCCGGTTACCGGCTTCCCCGCTGCCTTAATCCTCGGGCAACATCACCCGCCTGCGCATCTCCCGGCAAAGGCCCGCGAACCCCTTCCCCCCGGGCCGGGACCCGCCGGGTGGGCTCCTGGCCCGCCGCCGCCCGCGCCGAACGTCACAAAATGGCGGCGGCCCTTTGTCTCCATCTGGCGCCGCCATTGGGCCCGGCCCCACCTCGGCGCTGTTCCGTCTCACTCCCCACTTCACTCCGCCGGACCCGGGCCCTTACCGAGATCTTGGGTGAGAAACGCGGCGGCTGAGCTCCACACACCCTCGGACGGCTCTTCGGCTCCCCTCCGCCCGGCTCCACAGGTCCCCTCTCCTCCCCGGCGTCCACGAAATGGCGGACCACCGCCTTCTCCTCGCCCTTATTTATACGCCATGCCGGAGTCACGTGATTGGGCAGGCTCGCCCAATGAGAGGCCGAGGAGGCCGTGACGCAGCGGCAGCGAACGCGACGGGCCGCGCGGGAGTTGGGCGCGCGCTCGGGCAGCGCCGCGGGGTCTGCGGGGTCTGCGCCCGGCGCTCCCGCGGGGCTCCTCCTCCGTCCCCCCAACCTCGGCTCCCGGTGCTCCTCCGTCCCCTCCATGCTCGTCCCCGAACGGGCCGGAGCTGTGGACGCCGCTGCCGCCGCTCTCCTGAGCGGGCAGAGCCGGCGGCTCCGATACGATTGAGGTCCCGGATGGATTCCATGCTTCACCCTCGCCCGCCGTTGGGCCGGGACGGAGACCATCGCGCTTTCAAACGTGCTTCCGAGTCGCTCCCAAGGTCACGGAGCTGTGGCCGCCGAGCCCCACACTGGTGGGCAGGCCCGGTCCTGCAGAGCCTGCCCTCGGGCCGGTTTCCCGCCTCTCGCCCTGGGCTTCGGCCGCGCCGGCGGCGTCCCGGCTGCTGGACTCCCCCGTGTGTGATGGGAACTCAGCGGCCGAGGAGCCCGGCAGGCCATCGGGAGCTGCAACTGGAGCGAATAACAATAGGAGGAAGTTGCTGGGGATGACGGATTAAATCCTGAGCCCCACACTAATGCCAGGAAGGGCGCCTCTGGCCTCCTCCCTGGAAGAGGGGGGGTGCCCCGCGGGCCGCTCCCGCTTCCCGCCCTGCACCCCGCCGAGCGGACGGAGCCGCGGGAGTGATGAGCTATTGGGAGAAACGCGGCGATTGTGTTAGAAAACCGCCCAGATCTCTCCGGAGCCCTGCCCTCGGCTGGGGAGCGCGGTTCCCGCAACCGCCTTGCCGGAGAGCCTGACTTAAACTCCAGCTAACCTGTATTTAAATATGCTCTGGAGAGAAAAACAACAGAAATAACCTGTATTTGAAGTCACTAGCTGAAAGTTGTGCTAATTATTTTCTTGTCTTATCTCTCCCAGACGTTTTCCTTGGAAGCCTTATCTCTCAGTGTGGCCCTAAAAGGATTTCCTTAGTGGGGAGGGGAAAACGAAGATTTAATCTCCCTGAGCCTTCGTTTTCTCTGCTGTGAAAGGGGGATTTCACGGCGAAGGGGAGTAGGGGAAGGGGAACTCCATGGTGGAGCAGGCCCTGTGCCGGCCTCTCCTGGGAGGGGGATTCTGGCAAACCCTGGCTCTTCTGGCTTATCTTTCATCCTCGTAGTGTTTTTCTCTCCTGGCTCCCCTAGGTTTGTCCTCACTTGCTCCTCTCGTCCGTGTAAGCTTTTCTCTTCATAATTTTTTCTTCTGCCAAAGCAAAGTCAGGTAGTCCTGGATTGGGACCCCAGCCCCATTGCTACTTACAGCTAAAGTGTCTCAGCCCAGCCGGTGTGGTTCAGTAGTTGACCCTGTGAACCAGGAGGTCACGGTTGGATTTCCAGTCAGGGCATATCCCTGGGTTTCAGGCTCAATCCCTAGTGTGGGGTAGGCAGCCAGTCACTAATTCTCCTTCATCACTGATGTTTCTGTCTCTCTCTCCCTCTCCCTTCCACTCTGAAATCAATAAAAATATATATTTAAAAATGAAGTATCTTGAAAAGAATCTCTTACCCATCTCAGAATTAATTTCCACCTCCCTTTCACTCTCTCTTAAAAAAAAAAATCAATGGGAAAAATATTCTAGGCTGAGGATTTACAAAACAACAACAAAAAACACTCTTTAAAGATTTTTTTTTATTTTTTATCTTTATTGTTGATAGAAAATGCTGCCTCTTTTTTTTTTTTATCAATCTTTATTGTTCATATTATTACAAAGGTTCCTCATTTCTTCCCCCCTCCACCAGGTTCCCACCCCACCCTCCTCCCCCTCCCCATCCCCCATTGTCCTCATCTATAGGTGCACAGTTTATGTTCAGTCTCTTCTTCCCTCCCTTCCTCCTCCCCCCCCCCATAGTAAATCCCTTTTCAGATAGTAAATCAGTTACTTAGCATTTTCTCATATCAATAATACCTCCACATGCCCAATGATACACTTCACACAAAAGACATTTCCAAATAGGTCAACTAGCCTCATCCAGGCCCCACCCAAGGCACTCACAGATCAACACCCCAGCCCTATACTAACTCAACACATCCAGATCTAAGCCTTCATCACTTGATTCAGCAGACCCTCAAGTTCCCGCGAAAGTTTCCAGCCATGTCTGAGAGGCAGCCGTGGGGCAGGGGCAGGCGAGGAGCCAGCTGTTCCGGGCCTGGCTGCTCCGGGCCTGGCCTCTGTTGCTCTGGTTCGTTCCACAACCAGCTGCTCCGGGTCTGGTCACTGCCGCTCCCGACCTAGTTGCTCTGGACTTGGCTGCTGCTGCTCCGGGCCTGGCCGCTCCCAGCCTGGCAAAAATGCTGCCTCTTTTTAAATATCCCTTTCACATCTCAATATCACATCTTTCCCTATTGCCTCTGTTTTTGTTGTGTGTGTGATGCTAGCTAGTCTAGCATGCATCTTTCAGTGGGGCGCTCTAAATTACTGTGCTCATGAGTACATTTTGAACCACCTCTGGCTTGCCACACACACTTTTCATCTCTGGTGACTGCAGCTAAATGAATTAGCCATTTAAACTCTGGAATATTTGAATGTTGCTTTGATTTTATTGGATCATCAACCATTCTTGTCTGAACCCTAAAAAACCTGATGCTTTGTCAGAATTTCTTAGTGGGACAGGGAATGGAGCTGTGTATTGTAGGGAAGGTCTCTTGTTTTTCTTGGGGAAACTACCTTTCTCACAAGTAGATCATGTTACTGATGCAGGTGTGACGGCCCCACAACCCACTTTTTCATGGGTAGGGAACTGGCCACTGCTGGTTAAATAAGTCATTCCAGTTCGTAGCCCCCCATCCTCACCCCATTAGATGTGATGAAAAATCCGATCAGAACAGTGACCAATTCCAGCATTGCTGTGAGGCCTGCCAGAGAGGCGTGCTCCTTTCCTCTGGGGTCCTGAGCCAGGGCAGCCAACCCGTTTCCAACAGGAAGCAGCAGCCTGCCATAAACCCAACCTAAGGCAGAGCGAGCTGAGAGATGGTAACAAGGAGCCCAGGAATTCTGCCTTTGGAATTCCCAGTTATTTGAACATTCGAGCTCTCTACCTCTTTCCCCGACTTGCCTAAGCCACTTTGACTTTATTTGCACACAGAAATATTCCAAATACAGAAATTACTCTGACATACTTCTCTCCACCTCAAGTTGAGAACCGTGGCATTAAGTAATCTAATTCTAAAAAATTCATCCGTTACCAATAAACTAAATAGCTGTGTTTTTTTAATATAAGGGGAAAAAGTTACTGATGGCCAGGCATTAAGACCTATGTATAAGAATTAAAACTTTAACTACTGTAGTTGACTTCAAGGAAAATCTAATAAGAGCTTAGACCATAACAATAGTTTCTTTGCTACTTGGTTCAATGTCCTGGAAAGAGCACAGTCAGCAAAGGGTTATCTGCAGAGGCATGGGCCCGGGGAAGGAGATCCACAGCGAAGGCAGGACTCCCA